CGACTCTGTGACAATGGTGTCACGGGGGATGGTGAAGGAGTCTTTTGTGAAAGAAATAAAGTTCCTTTTGAGGAATTCTTGTTAATGCATGATTGATCATTTGTACTTTTGACACCTTTGGATTGCAAAATGGGCGTCTTCTTGGGTGTTGATGTGGCGTTTTGGCGTGGCGTTAAATGATGGGAGGTCTTTTCTCTGAGATAGTTGAGAAGGAAGGGTGCCAATTCAGCAATAGTTTGTTTCTTGAGTTTTTTGTTTTCTTCTTTGACATCCTGCAACAAGCACAATGCAGAAAAGCTATTAGATTAGAAAAAGACACCCACGGTGGCCTGAATGAGTATATGTTACAAACAAAAAAGAAGCCATTTTAATTAATCATGCATACTAAGGGAATATTTTGGGTATTATTTGGGTGGGTATGTGCCGCCCGGGACTCCAAATTGGCACCCCGTTCTAAAAAAAATTTCCCCTAAAATTGATACCCCATTCTAGAAATGGGCCAATTTTTTGGACCCGTTTCTAGAATTCGCCCTAAAACTGATACCCCGTTCTAGAAATGGGCCAATTTTTTATAGTCCGTTGTAGAAAGTTTGTAAATTGAAATAGCCCTGTTTTTTCAAAAAGATATTTCTTTATTTGTTCGACTTATACATCAAATAAATGCTTCTTCATAATCAGCAACAATTTTAAGCAGAAGATAAAGCCGTGATCCACAATTTTTTATACCCCATTCTAGAAAACGCCTCTGAAATGGATACCCCGTTCTAAATCAGGAGCTTCAAAATCACGACCCCGTTGGGCCGCACATACCCGTATAGGAAATGATGGGAGTAACCCCCGGGCTAACACCGTGTCCCCCATGATAGCTCACCACGCCAGAGATTTCACATGAAATCGAGGGTACAGTACAAATTCCCCACCCCTAACGCATGGGGATCAAATTCCCTACCCCCTGGAAGACTCTGATAATCAAATTCCCTCCTCCCCGGGACAGCAAAGGTGTCAAATGCCCGGGGTATGCCCGGGGGGGATGTTGAAGCTTCGATTTGACCGATACATAAGCTTATATTTCTCGGTCCAGAGGGTTAGGTATTAGCTAAACTCAGCTTAATTAACTGCGCAAAACTGGACCTCCAAGAATGCTAATCGTTTTGAGTGTAGCTTACCTCTTTGCCATCAACTTTCAGCGGAAAATCTAAATCCTGCAATGTTACTTCTCCGTTTAAAATTTTGCCCAGAATGGCAGCCATGTTTTCTCGCCATTTCAAATCGGCCGCCCTCACTTGCCGTGCGCAAGATCCGGGAAATGGACAAAGCAAGAACAACGCACACTTTGGCGGGAAAAGTTAACCAATCAGAGGTTGCAATTCAGTGGCTTCTTTGTTATTCATTCAAAACAAACTATAAATTTCGTTTGTTTCAAGTCGCATTTCGGGCGAGAAAATTGAGGTGAAAAATGCCTAAACGAAACTTTCCTTTCGATGGAACCTCCCCGCTGCAGCTCAAGACTCACATCAACGCATTTTACTTTGAGAAATTAAATGACATGGATAAAATCTACGGTAAGTTTGGCATGACAGCGTCGTCTGCGGAATTTCATGAAGTCAGTAGGTTTTCGAACGTGTACATTTATTAGTTTTTTTATTTTTTTTCGTTTGAAATATAAGCCTCTCATGCTAAAAAGTTATCGTGAGCGTTGTACGATCGTTTCTCAAGCGGAATTTTTGCCTGTCAGTGATATTTTTGTGCTTGGTATTTCATAGTACAGAGTGCTTGTGTAATGATCTTCTTAGCTTATACCTGCATTAGATTGAAGCGTTCTTTACTCTGTAAATCCTAACAGAAAGGACTCGCGAATTGATGCAAAAAGGATCAAAACGCATGCAGCAAGAAGAGGCGGAGAAGAAGAGGAACACCAATGTTCAGACAGACCAAGCTGTCAAGTGCCTTAGCTGTCTTCAGTCCAAGCGTTTTGGTATAAGTTGCGTGTTCTGTGAAAGGCAATTGTGTGTCGATTGCAGTCATCAGTGCTCGACGTGTGCAGAAAGTTTCTGCAATTTGTGTTCCATTGCCAAGTAAGTGGATTAAACAGTTGTTTCTCATTTGAAGGTAACGCAATGTACATGAAGCACAAGAGATCTTCAGCGCACGTGCTTTGCAGTAGTTATTCTGTCATTCAAACAATGAATCAATCAGTCAAGGACTAGCCAGTCACGCAATCAAACAAAAGTCACGCTATCAAATAAGACAACTGACAAGTCATGACAAGTTGTACTATTAATTGGTAGGGGAAAGCAAAAAGACTTGTATACAGTGTATGAATAACCACTAAAATCGCGCGGAAATACGGGGACCCTCCCCAAAGATCCACTGTTGACAAGAAACACTCAACTTAGCTATTGGCAGTAATTACATGTAATTTTTGCCAAAATGATGGACTGCAAAACACTTAAACATTACTATTTGGGAGGCATTGAGCTTGAGGGTGACAAACCTGCCACAACTGCACAACCCTCACTCTCTCCACAGGCTTGTGAGGGAATTCAGTCATTTTGATGCCAAGTCGTTTCCATAAAAGTTTGTTTCAATATGAACTTAAGCAGGGAAACTGCACAACAATTTTGATCACTTCTAGTACAGTTTGCACAGAAACAAGAAAAAATAATATTTGATGTGAATAACTATTTTTCTGTTATTTAGGCCGAGTACATGAAACTATTTACGCCTTGACTGAATCAACTTGTACTGAAGGCCTTGTATCGAAAACAACCAGTAAACCTAGTGAGATGACAGAGAAAAGTTGTTTGAGCATCTCTCTTTATTCTCACTTCCTGTATTTTTTTACCCTCACCTTTTGTTTGGTGAGTGTTCACATTCTCAACCACTGCAAAAATATGGCTGTTTTGCTGTCTATTGACGATCTCATGGTTACTGAGAGCTTTTTATTTCATTATCCTTTTCAGCTATGATGAACGATGTGAAAAGTATTTTTGCCTGGGGTGCGCGGAGCATAAATGCTGAAGTCCAACATCTTAGTCATCAAGTGATGCAGATTTCCTCAGAAATTATTGTACTCTTTACCCAAACACATCATAATTATTTGAGTAAAAAGTATTGTGAAATAAAGTATAGTTAATGATAGTGTAAACTAGTTAAATTTAGCATTAAAAGTTGTTAGAAAGATCTTACAATTAACAGGGATGCCCTTGTAAAAGTTATTATGACCAAAATATTACGAGTGTTTAGTGGACTTAGAGAAAGAATTCCGCCATTTAAAAATAAACCCCAATGGGCAAGAGTTATGGAGGATAACAAAATGTGGTTCTAATAGTGTTTTTTTTCTTTTTTTTTGACCACGGCTTTCTTTGACTCTTGTTGCCATAATGGTAGTGTGGTCAAGTTGCTGAAAGTTTATAAAGGGTTATCGTACACTATACTGTTTACTTGAACTTTCACACATACACATACCGGTACTGACATAAAGAGAAACTTATTTATTTTTGGTACTGTTATTGAATAATCATATCTGAGGAAAATATGTATAGCCTAACTCATAAAACATAGAAATAATGGAATGTATTAATATTGTTTGCTTCTGCTTAGTTTAAGTGAAGTTTGTTGATGATGTAGATAATTTTTCTTTTTTGTGCTTGTCAAGTATTGCAGTTAAATTAAATTATGTTTTGCTTGGTGTCCAGAAATAAAGAGTGTCACTCCAGATATATCTTATTTTTTATGTTATTGAGACTTATTGCACTGTTAAAGCTTTTACAGACCTTTATACATAGCCAGACACTGATTGGTCAGCTATCAGTTAAGTCTCTGTCGGCGGTGTATTAACCAATACTTTGACTGCCCCCCACTTGACGGACATGTTTGATGCAAATGTCTAAAATTCAATAGAGATAAACAGTTCTAAAAAAAACTGGCTTGCCTGATAGACACCTCTATAGGATAAACTACATAATCCTTAAGTAAATAACATTATATTAAAGGAGGTTTCATCATAGAACTACACAATGTGATCCCTGTATTGTTTCCAGTGCCCATTTACAACTCTGATTGAAAGCAGGCAAAATGTGGAGCCACGTTTCTTATCAAGGACTTTTAATTTTAAACATGTTATTCTGTTAGTTACTTAGAAATACCAGTCAATGCTACTCTGTGATTTCATTCCTCACACCACCCCTCACTGAATCTACCTCAACTGAAAAACTAAGATTTGCAAGACCTTAAGAGGTGGAGTTATTATGTTGCACTTTGGTGTGAATTCTTTTGAGGCTAGGTTTAAATACAATGTCGTCAGTAACGCTTTAGAACACTGAAAAGCCAGCTTTCCCATTTCTCCATTAGGCGTGACATAAGAATAATGTGACAGGTCACGCAAAAACTGTAGTTCTGATAAAACAGACACAATGAATAAAGGAAGAAGTTAATAAATAATATTGTTAAAAAAATAATAATAATCATAGATTTTTGAAGTAGATACTTATTATAAATATGTTAAACAAGATTCGGAAAACTAGTAAGAAAGATGTTCATCAAAAGTCAGACTTTTCTAGCATTTTCTGGAACATTCTTTCGGTTTTGAAAGGTCATGATGATAGAGTCGAACAGAGGAGATTTTGGAATAATTATTTTTCAGTATAGCATTATTTTATTCCCTTTGAATGTTAATGTAAAGTAGCCAGCAGCCTTTTCAAGCAGTAGAGAATTTAAATACGATCTTCAAATTTCCATGGTTAGTAGTGGGAAAAAACTATGTCAAATTCGAAGGAAAATCTGATAAAAAGATCCCAGTCACCGGAAGTCAGAATTTACCAGTCCTTTCTGGGACATTCTTTCGTTGAAAGATCATGATGATAAGGCAGATTTTGTCGGAATAGTTTCAAAAAGTAGAATGTTTACATTCTTAAACTAGAGAGTGACGTAAACACAGAGTATAAAAGCAGTGCTCCCAGCCGATACACGGAAATACGACTGATCCTTGTGCTTACAAGATGGAGACAGAATTATGCGAACATTGCAAAAAAGAAGTTCCTGTCGAAAATTATCTGATGCATTCGGCACACTGTAAAAGAAACATTCAGTTATGTCCTTTGTGCGGCCAAGCAATATCCCGTAAAGACGCGAAAGAACACTTGCAAGAATACCACGAGAAAATCGACTGTGTTCAATGTGGACAGAAGACCACGAGAATCGACGAGGAAAATCATCTGGCGAGCGAATGTACCAAAACGATGATTCCATGCCACTACTGCGATATTTTACTGCCAAGGGAGAAAATGTCAGAGCATCAAGATTTCTGTGGATCCAGGACGGAACTGTGTGAGAAATGTAACCGGTATGTCATGATGAGAGATTTACAGAAACATGAGACATCTTGCCTTGAGTACACTGTTCTTCCTTGTGAATTCTGCGGGGCGCTGATCTCGTATGATCGTCTTGATTCCCATCAACTCCAGTGTATGACTGAAAGTCAAACTTTGCGAGGTGATATACCTCTCCTTGTGGAGGGTGAAGATGGTTCATTTCGCGAGATTGCAATGGAGAAAGCGACGAGGTCAACGAGCAGCCATGACAGAACCGGAAGCGGAAATGACTCTGCCACTGGCTCCAACGAAGAAACCACTGATAAAGAAGGCAATTCAGACAACAGCATTGTTGCTTTACCCTGTGAAATCTGCGGAGAACTCTGTCCTTCTGATCGGTTAATGGAACATCAAGAAGGATGCGGACAAGAGAGTGAAGATGATGAAAACCAGGAAGAACCTAGGGAATTGAACTTCCGGTTTGACAGTCATCCATACAGGGGAATGGAGAACTATTACGATGGACTCTTTTCCGAAGGAATACCTCGTGTCTTTGAAAGCCTTATTCAGCAGAGAGTGTTAAGCGACCTCGGAGACGGAATGTGGCCATTCAACATTATGAGGAACTAATGGTCTTGTTTGTCAACAAATTAAAAAATCTCAGGTGAGCGACAGCCGCCGCGGAGGATCCCCCGGCCGGGATCAGATGGTCACACGAGGTGGTTCTTTTTCAAGATGGTGGTCTATGTTCTGACTCTGTGTATTCCCTAATTTGTAATAACTGTTAGTTTCACAGGCTCTGCTGAGTCTCCTATATATCAGTCTGAAACATTAAAATAGTCAGGAGTATAGTAATAGTAAAGTATTTTGAACTCATAGGTCATATGACGCAAAGCGTTTTTAAATAAAATCCATGTAAATGATTTCAATAAACACATGATCTTTTTTCACTGGCTGGTCTGATTAAAATGAAGACCAATCATTAAAGCTGTAATAGCCACTTTCACATTTCTCATCGCACATATTTAAGCCCCCCCTCCCCCCACCCTCCGTCCAAAAAAAAACTGCATCATACTCCTTGTTTTCGTCTTCTCGAGTCATCATCATTCATGATAAGCCATGCGCCATCAAAGCGAAAGCATTATTTGAGGTTTAATCGGCGCTTGACAATGCAGGTAAAACACCGTTTTTAGTTCACCCTTCAAGGACCGCTTTGGTCGTTTTCGTCCCATGGATCGATGCACATTTTCCTTCCTGGGCCCATTTAGCTTTCGTTTCAAGCGTTTAACCCAGAGGGAGGGCAAACATGGGAAGTTTTGTCAGAGGCTAGGTTTAGTGCAAATTTATTTTGTAAGAAAAAGCTCTTATTAAAAAAAAAATCAGCGTAAAATAATGCTAGTGTATACGTTTCTTTGCGAATTTACAACTCGGTATGTGGGCTATCTATCAAAACAAAAAGATATCGACAAGCGACATCGGTTTTTCTTATCCTGAAAACATTGGATCATGGTGCCTTATATATTTCAATTAACGCATGTCTTAGTTTATACTGTATGCATTTTCCAGGTTCAATATCAATATACAACACTAATGATAACTTCTTCCGGGAAGTGTTTCATGGCAAGCCAAGTTCAATCGTAACCATCTAAGCATGTCCCCTAAAACAGAAATATATTAAGAATTAAACTATTTTCCTTGTCAAGAGGGCTTTACTTTAAAGGGCAGTGTTTTACAAATAAAAGCAGACTAAGCTCAATCGTGGGCATCTAAACATAACACCCAAAATATAATGCAAAGAACGAATTTCTTTTTGAAGAAAATAGGTTGTGAAATTCACGATCGTCTACCGCTCATGATTCCTTACATTTTGAGCCCTTCACGGCGCGTTTTAGTTTATTAACTGCAAAATTTTATTGCTGGTATTTTTGAAGCCTCATTAGGAAATTGTTCATAAGTCCTGATAGGCCTGTGTTATTCATCAGTTTTCGAGCTCTCCTCTTGAATTTCTATAACCGTGAGACAGTGACAGACATGATGTGGTTCGCGAGAGCCTGGACTCTGGCTCAAAAAGAATCGACAAATACAGTTGACTCCCGATAACTCGAACCTTCAAGGGAAATCGAAGAAAGTTCGAGATATCGGAAATTCGAGTTATCGGGAGCTGGAAGAAAATAGCCGGAACTAAGGTAAAAAACAGTTTTTACTGTACGGTGAACATTTTAATCACATTTTACTGAAGAAATGTTAAGTGAAAATTGAAAGATGCTTTTAGATTATATATCAGAACGTAACGTAACAAAACATAGCCAAAATAGAGCACGCATTCTACTGTTTTGAGAAGTAAAGCTGTTTCATGTTAGATTTCTGACAAACGGCATCAGCCTCCACTAGTAAACTTTATGTCTACAACACGTCACTAGTGGGACTTCAAAGCAATGTTTCGGACGGAACACTATTTTTTCCGACTTTTTAAGCGCTCAAAACATGGTTCGAGTTAATTATTGGGGGTAAAATTATATGGAAATGATCTGAGGGGAAACAAAAATTACTTCGAGTTAGCGGAAGGGTAAAATTACAGTGAATGTATGAAGGAAATCCAGGGGAAATCGATTTTGGTTCGAGTTAGCGCGAGGTTCGAGTTAGTGAGGGTTCGAGTTATCGGGAGTCAATTGTTTCGCAGACTAGAGCTGTCGGCGTGGACGTTAATTCTGACCCTGGAAACGATCTTTACCACTTTGCTTGGCTCAAAAAATATTATCAAATTTTACGCACAGTTCCTGTTGTCTGGTTCCAAAATACACCATGTGTAATATTGCCACAACCATCACAATTTCATTACGATGTCTGCCCAAGAAAGTGACGAGGGCCATTCTTCAATAAAACTCAATAAAATAAAAAAGTTATTTTACTTCTTACCCAACACAGTCGTTCATCGTGTTGTTCTGGCTGACGGCGACAGGCGAACCCTCCTGGCCTGTGTGTTCCTACATTTCGATTCATAATCCTCCTATCCCGATTCGCTACTGGATCTATCGGTTCTGTCAGTTCTCTGTTCGCTGTCGGCTGTTCTTCCGTCGCTGCACCCTCCGAGGGGTCATAGGCTCTTAGGCGACAGCATACTGTCGGAGCGAGGTAGATCTTGATCACACAGTATAGTAAAACGAGCATCACGATAAATGAGGCATCGCTAAACACCAGTTCGACCGTCATCTTTAACTTGGCTGGCTGTAATTTGTTCCGTGTTCAGTGAAGCAACAACGCGATATAAAATTATCTAATGAGTGACTTACGAAAAACCAACGGAAAAATCATAGATTTGAACTTGCGATTTCTTTGCAGTACTTGTGTTATCGACTCTAGCGTACATGGACGAAATCAAGCACACGTGCCAAATACTCCTTTGATAAGGGCCTGTTAATAGTCAGGCGCGCCTTTCAGTGACCTCTATTTCTGGTAAAGCTCCATCGAACGCAGTTATATATCCGAGCGGCGAAATAATTATTAAGCCGTTGTTAGGGCAACACAAAAGAAGTGTGACTCCAGTCTTCAGAGGTCAAATTCTCATAGAAAATAATAATAAAAACCACAGGAGTCTATACACAGGAATTTAAAGTACAGGAAACACGCCAGCTATTCAGTGAAGCAACAACGTGATGATTTGCTGTAGCCTGAAATTCATCCGATTGCTTCGAGTCGTTTTCTCCTGTCAACAACTGAGGGAGTAATAACGACTCGAAGTAATCGGATGAAATTCAGGCTAGATGATTTGGTGATTTGTACAAGGATCAAAATGCACTGCACGAGAAACCAACGGAAGAAAACTCATAGAACTGAACTTGCGATTTCTTTGCAGCACTTTGTTATGTTATTGTACCCTGCGAGCAGAGGCTACATTTCCGCTGTGTGATTCGTCACGCGATAAAACTGTCGTCAAATGGCGCGAGTTTCGCGGGAATAAAAACGGGTCAAGAACAGGAAAAAACCCGTTTTTTTACTTTGTTTCAGGCGGCAGAGGCTACTTTTCGCACGCCAGATCACATAGCGAAATTGTAGCCTTTGCTCGCAGGGTAATGTTATTGAGGGCGCCCGGGGGGGACTCCGCATATCGAAGGGGCTGGGGATGCTCGTCGGAAATTTTGAATTAAACCCCTAAAAAAAGACCATGTTAAAACACAGTCAATACACATATTTTTATACTTTTTCACGTGCAACCCTAAACGAGACCTTCACGGCTAAATATGGTGGCGTTTTGCCCTTATCGCGTACCCAGATCTCACTCTGTTTTACTTGGCCGTGGGAGATCTGGGTACAAGATTAGTTTTGCCCACAACACCCTAAGTGAGACCAAAATCCAAAATTTACACCCCTAAGCGAGACGACGAGCATCCCCAGCCCTTTCATATGCGGAGTCCCCCGCCCCCCGGGACATGGGCGAAATCAAGCACACGCGCCAAATACTCCTTTGTTAGTAATCAGGCGAGCCTTTCCGTGTTTGACCTTTGAGTGACCTCTATTTCTGGGAAAGTCCAATCGACAGCAGCTGTCAATCAGAGCGGCGAAATAATTTGAATACACAGCGATTACTTATTGTTCCTAGTTCTGGACATTACAGCGAACTAATTATTTAGCCGTTGTTAGGCATGAGGCAGCATAAAAGGCGAAGCCTGAGTGACTCCATCTTTCTGCTGCAGAGGTCAAATTGTCATAGAAAATAATAATAATAATAACCACAGGAGCTAATACGCAGGAATTTTAATACAGGAAACACGACGGCTTTATGACCAAAAATTCAAGTTAAACACCGTTAAGACACTGTACGACGGTAGTCCAGTGGACGTACAATTCCGGGCTGTGAGCGAGCGAGAAGGTCTTAAGACACCCAGATAAAAGAGATGTAAGCCCCTTATTAAACGCATCGGCCAAAACACAGCTTGTTTAAATTAATTTAAAGGGGCTGTGTCACGGCAATCCAGTTCATTTTGTTTAATTTTGCCAATTTCTCGCCCTCAATCACCATGGAACTTAAAGTAAGCAAAGAAATTACATGTAAATGACAAAATCAGAGATCCGAGACAAACAAATATGCCTCCTGAGCATTATTCTTGAATTTGCAAGCAGCAGGGGTCGACTTTGAAAAACTGTTAGGCTCAACAGTTTCAAAAATCCTAATTTCAATCCGTTTTAATCTTCTTCTCGTTATGTTATTTTTAACCTTCCTTTAAAGTTTTAAGCGGTTATTTTTATGTTTCTCTTAATTTTACGGGCATTTTGGCTGAATTTCGTGACACAGCTCCTTCGCAAACTACAGTAAGCCCCTTAAACCCTGTCTCAAAAGCACCGGTATTACACATTTACAAGTGTCAACAAATACACGTTCCTTAATGAACGATAAAATCGATAAATCGATAAATTCAATACCTTTAAAAAACAGCAGCGATGGTTGTGAGTATCGATTTCTATCGATTGATCGATAAAATCGATAACGTTTAAATTTGAATTATCGATAGTTATCGATTTATCGAACGGTTTTCGGATATCGGTTTTTTATTGATTGAGCAAGTCACGTTCTTATAAAGCCGAATTCCTGTCGGAGAGCACTTTCCCCCGTTCCGAAGGGTAGCACAGGACGTGTTGAGATCTTTTCCCTCAAAAATGACTTTCGAGGAGTTCGTTTATGAAACCGTAAATCTTATAGTTGGATGACTTGACGCCTTTTAATTTTAAATTGGTGCTGAGAGGTTGCTGTATTGGTAAAAATTACGCCCACAATACAGCAACCCCTTAAAAGAGAATTATCAAAAAACAACTAGTTAGTAGCTCAATTCAGAAACAATGGGCGTTTTCCATTCAGTCAAAAAGTCCGGTTTGAATTTTCGGTAACTTCCAGTGGTGAATGGCACAGCATTTTCCAAAATTTTTAAAAAGAAGACAATCTCCCGAGGTACCGTAAAATTCCGAAAATAAGCCCCTCCATGTATAAGCCCCTCCCCCTCCCCGTCCTTATGTCATTTATGTGCCTGTGAAATGTCCTCGGGGTGGGTGCATTGGGGCATTTGAACGGCATTTTGGCTCGGGTAGGGGGGGAATTTGAACAATAATTTTCTAACAAGTCAAATGACCGGGAGGTTGCCCAGGGAGGATGTTGAAGCTTCGATTTGACCGATACATAACTACAGTGGAATACCCAAGTTTCTCGAACCTCCAAAACGAAACGCAAATTGGTTCGAGAAATCGGGAGTTCGAGAAATCGAAAGTGGCATCAAATTGCGCTTAATTGGCCGCGTATTGTGTGATTATGAGTAAGTGTTCAAATTTTAAAAAAAATACATCCTTTTTAATGTAGATATTGACTTTTATTCACAAACAAAACGTACTGTACTTAAAAAGCAAAAACGGAACATAACACATGTCGTGTATGGTCTGTATATATCGCTCACTCAATTTAGCTGAAATAATTTATAATAACTTGTTGCCACTTTGCAACCGAGAAATTCTGGTCTATGATTTGAGAAATGTTCCTGGTACTTTTTGCGCAGATTATCGAGGTGCGCATCATCAGCAAAAAAGCTGAATATGTTAAGCACGCCGACGGCATGGCGAAATTTTCGCAGGTTCGAGTTATCGAGGGTCAATTTGTCCCACCCGAGCCAACATTTGTTTGAGTTATCGGGAGTTTCGAGAAATCGAGGGTTCGAGAAATCGGGGGTGAAATTATAGAGGTTGAGTGAAGCAAATCCAAGGGAAACAAGGTTTGGTTCGAGATATCGGGAGGTTCGGGCCTGACCGAGGGTTCGACAGATCGGGATTCCACTGATTGTAACGGACTAAAAGCGACGAGCAGCCATGACAGAGCCGGAAGCGGAAACGACTCTTCCACGCGCTCCAACGTGGAAACCATTGCTAAAGAAGGTAATTCAGAGAACACCATTGTTGCTTTGCCCTGTGAAATCTGCGGAGAACTCTGTCCTTCTGATCGGTTAATGGAACATCAAGAAAGAAGCGGACAAGAGAGTGATGATGATGAAAAACCAGGAAGAACCTAGGGAATTGAACTTCCGGTTTGACAGTCATCCATACAGGGGAGTGGAGAACTATTCCGATGGACTCTTTTCCGAAGGAATACCTCGTGTGTTTGAAAGCCTTACTCAGCAAAGAGTGTTAAGCGACCTCAGAGACAGAATGTGGCCATTCAACATTATGAGGAACTAATGGTCTTGTTTGTCAACACATTAAAAGATCTCAGGTGGGCGACTGCCGCCGAGGAGGATCCCCAGGGAGGGTCACAAGAGGTGATTCCTTTCAGGGTGGTGGTACATGTTCTGACTTTGTGTATTCCATATAATTTGTAATAACAGGAGCCTATTTGATGGGCTCCTGGTAATAACCTTAAGTTTGCTCAGCTGGGTGTCCGATATATGTTTGAAACATTCGAACGGTTAAGTATTTTTAACGCAGAGGTCATATTTGACCAGAACACTAAAAAGCCATGTATTTTAAGTCCCAAATCCATGGAAATGATTTCAATAAACAAATGATCTTTTTTACTGGCTGATCTGATTGTAATAAAGACCGATAAAGCTGGGATAGCCACTTTCATATTTTCCACGATACTTGTTTAAGCCAAATCGTGCTACGAAAATAACTACATAGCGATAGATCAAAACAAGATCAACTCCATCCTTGCGACCACTGACAACTATAAATTTAGCTGGCGTAGCAGGTGTCGAAAGGGGTAGGGGATACGGAGGAAGCAAAAAGGGATGTGGATTGGGGAGAAATAGTAGCCTGCCACGCAGGCTACTATAAATTCAGTCATAAGCACATTAAACCAACCCGTACAGGTAACCTACTCATCGATGCTCATAACATGACACATCTTTCCGGTTTCNTTAAACCAACCCGTACAGGTAACCTACTCATCGATGCTCATAACATGACACATCTTTCCGGTTTCCCTAATTTTTCCAAATTCAGATAGAACGCCATTATGTTTCCATGGACCAACGCATCCCACGGAAACGACTTTAGGCGTCTTGTTTGAAGTTAAACCGGCGCTTGACAATGCAGAGAAAATACCGTTTTTACTTAACCCTTCGAAGACCCCTTTGGTCGTTTTGGCTCCATATGGATCGATCCACATTGAATTTCCTTTCTTGGCCCATTTCAAGCGTTTCACCCAAGTAATCTTTCAAGCTAACATCATGGAAATAGATTTTTAAAAAAAATGTTGGCGTTACAAATATATGTCCACTCATCATTAGCCTTCACAATCTTCCGAAAGATACCTTGCACAAGAAGCTAAATTTGGGACACAAGAGTCACAAGGCCCAGAGTGTCAAGGACTCGACTGTTAAACGCGAACGCCAAATCAACACGATAAAACACAGAAATATCAATTCAACTGTTCTCGACGCGGAAGACTAAAAAAAAAGTGTCCATTCCTCTTTGTCACGTGTTCATTTAACTGTCAATCAAAATCGCGCCTAAAACCGGAAGCGGAAGCACACTGACCTGCGTGGCAGGCGCAACCATACCCTGTTCAGCGGCACGTAAGGCCAAACAAGTCGGGAGTTCCTCCCCCCGGGAAGGCGTTAATATTGGTGAACAATGAATTCAGCAAACAAGATCTTGCTCCGTTTATCAAAAATGGCCATTTTCGAAATAAAAATCGTCAAATTTACCAAATTCGGAAGGAGACAGGTTTGGAAGTGAAAAAGTAGTAATTCAGTTATGTTTATGTTAATTATGAAAACTGCAAGTGAAGAGTACATAAATTAATAGTCCCTGCTTATCAAATTTCGAAACTAGACATGTAGGAAGACCTAGCTAACAGGCTTTCTAATTTAAGCGCTTACTCTGCACAAACACCACAGAAAGCTTTTTTCAAATACCCTTGATGCCCTGTTTGATGAAAATACCACGACTCGTACTTAAAGGATCTAATATGGATCACTTTCGTTCTGGAAGAGATCCGACGAATTACATCAATAAATGACTTTCATGATGAGTCTATCTCATCACCACATAACAGTTCAGTTCATCTCTATTTGCCTCTATTTAATTTCTTGTGATAAACTTTAGACTACTTGATACATCTTTAGCCAGGAATAGTTCTTCTTTCACATCAGTTTGACATCAATCCGGATCATCTAAAAACTGACCTAAAAAAACAATAGATAAATTAAAAGTCTCAACGGTCTCAAAGAACTGAGAACGAAAGCCGGTTTGCTGATCACGACTAAAACTGTACATATCATGCAATTAAAGTCGACATAATACATCGCAATAAAAAGGGTAGTTTTTAAACCTCGTCCCTATGCCAATGTTTTTGCTTGAAACGCATACATATCGGCTGCGTTTCTGTTCATACATTCAAGCAGATTATTAAACGACATTAAGAGTTCACTTAACAATTAAGTGCTTTTTAAATTAAACCCGGTAAGAATTTTCATGAGGAAGTGATGTTTGACCATACTGAGCATGCGATCCAACGTATCTTCGAGGGACTGTACGTAGTAGTATGTCTTTTTTTACACCAGTGCCTTTGACTGCAAACATTTCTTATTTCCTATGCTGATTATTTGTAGCTAATAGGGTTATGACCCTATTCCCGTCACCGGTACTCCAAACCTCGCTACATATGCATATGGGAGTTAAAAGGTCTTCCTGAGTTATAATGCAAATTTATATTTTATGCTATAAGCCAATAATAGGCTCCTGCTTGGGCTTATTAAATGATAGCAGGGAAAAGAAAAGAATAAGAATGAAAACAGAACACTAAAAGGCAAAAAATAGCACTCGAGTAATAATATAAATATCAGCATTCATATAAAATCGTTGCTTATTGTAGGAACTTTTTCTGGGTATACTCGTGATCTGCACTCCTTTGTGGTTATTTTTGTGACAAAAGTGCACATGCCGTCTCCTTTCCGTACCCCAGGTCGTAGACTAGACATGGGTGGTGACAGCGGTGATATTTCGGGAATGAAAGCAGAGAACCGTAGAGCAAACTTCCTATCGCGCGGATCAACTTTCTAGCACTCGTCGTGCCAATCTTTAACCTGGCAGAGGGCCAAAAATTGTTCAACATTCGTAAGAAAGAAACAGATTTCTTACTTTATCATCACAGTCTTTCGTCGTGTATTACGGCACGTCTCCTTGCAGTTCTCTCACGTTCTACTACCTCAGCTCTGTCCTGTGCATGTGCCACCTGTTTGCGAATTAGAATTCGAAGGGATATGCGATCAGAGATTGTCACCACGGCCAGCAAACAGATCAAACAGACCAGTACAATGGTCGCAATAACAAGTGTAGCTACGTTAACCACTTCGTTCATCATGATGACCAAGGCTTCTCTTGCCGACTTTTTCGATTAATGATGAAAAACGGATGGAGTCGACTTCTTTGATCTTTTGATCGAGGAATGCGATAGAATTTTCTAATATTGCGAAGCTCTGCCTAGAGACGCAATAATGACTCGTCCCGTGATCGCGCTGTCTACTATATAGATCACGTGATAGGGTAGTCTTTCCTTGTTGGTTACAGCTAACATTGACGTCATGCTATTTACAGCAATAATGTGATTTGATTGACAAGCGAAGTTTTGATAAGCAGGGTTAGTTCTAAATAAGTGACGAGAAAGGAAGTCATACAGTGAAATGGTTCCTTGCTAAAAACCGAATCAAGTTGTCAAATGCCGTTGGAACTTACCCGCTTTAAACTATTGTGGTAAGATTGATGCTCATCACAAATAAAAGCCCGTGAGTCTCAGACAGATTAAACAACCGAGATAACCAAGGTCAGAGGCCCTCAAGCACCCGGGGGGTACTCCCTTATATAAGCTATATAGGTATGTGCCGTCCCATTGTGGGGTTTTTGCGTCGTTTTGGTCTGCAAACGGGTATACACTTTGCCCATTTTGGTCTGGAAACGGGTATGGTTTTCGAGGGAACTACGGAGGGTATGAACGTATTTATCGTTTCAATTCCAAATGAGTAAGAAAGAAAGAGAAACATGCGAATTCGAAATGGGTTTAAACATTTTTTTGGTTTGCGCTCTAATCTAAGTAATGATAACATAATTTCTGTCTAAAGGCCAGGTCTGAAAACGGATATGGATAAAGAGGTCTAGTCTGAAAATTACATTTTTTTGGTTTGAAATTCGGGTCAGGATTTGAAGAAGCGGGCGGCACACCCCAACAAGAATTCTCAGGAGTACTCCCCCCCCCCCCCCCCCCCCCCACAACAAACATCCCAAACCACGCAAAAATTTCTTATATCATATCTTTTTTTCATTAAATATGTCTGGTGACGTCCTCATTCTTTTATTACCTTTTCTTGTCTAACTACAAAAAACGCGAAAAAGATGGCAGAATTTGAATTTTTTCAACT